ACAAACGGAGGGAACTGTTAATGCCCGCAGGGACTAATTTTATATCAGCCAGTTCGGATTCGGAATAGTGTGGTGCGCGCAATAATGTGCTTTACCCAAATCTTTACAATGAAAACGTACAAGTGCGAGAACTTGTGGTGTTAATTTCAAGAGCCCCGGCATAGTTTCGTTCCATTTGCCGTTGGTCAGCGCATCAGTTGCGGCTGGAATAGCAATCTATGTTGATGACTGGCAACATTCTCATGTATTTACTTACTTCATTTCAGGATCATGACGTAATCCCCCTAGGACATAATCCAAGATGGTCATATGGGTGGGGTCGCGCCTCCCACTGTACCTTCCTCAGTTGTGCACCCTCCACCAATTCTGAAACTATGAAGGAACTACACAAGTTGAGGACGAACAGTGGAAGGTTGACCCCGCCCACACATCAAGTGTGGACTGTACTTTTCAACAGTGTTGGTCTAACTCACACTTGTCGGTACCGCATACGAAATAGCTGATGTTTTGGGGGAAGGTTTTCTGAATAAGATTACTTTTATTTTCTCAGTTCACAAGAAGAAAGAGTCAGAGATGACGATGACCGTAGCATTGTAGAGTGCAAAAGAAGGGATAAAATGAAAGCAACAAGAAGGTTGGAGTGTGACTGAAGAAAGTCCATGCTGACCATATGGGCGGAGCCAGATTCCAATATGCTCCCCAGTAGCGCGACCCTTCTTCTCCACCGATGCATAAAATGATGGGTGCACGAGTGAAGGAATAATGATGGAGGTGAAATGGGGAGATAATTAGGTGACGCCTGGCTCCGCCCATACTGCCAACGTGGACAGCATCGGGTAGCCCCCGAGCCCTCTGTGCACTCCACTTGGGTAGGTTACCCAGATTATCTAGCACTGATATTCGGCAATACAAACGTTTTTACTAGCGATCAGTCCAAAATGGACAGTGGCTTTGAGTGTGAGCAATCAATAGCCATATTTTGCATGTTGATTTATTGTAGGCACGCTAACTCCTCAAGCAGGATGTCTTGCTTCAAGACGGCTTCCTCACTGGTGTTTTTATTTTCATAGTCACCTTATTAAGGGACTATCAATGAAGAGACGCTCTAGTGAGGGGAGTCCGCCCATCCGTTCACCGTGGAAAGGGTTCCAGACAATGGTGCTGGTGAAGGTAGATGTGCGACTGTAAATAAGTAATGGGCCGAGAAACAAAATTCAAACTTGCAGAATAAAACGTCTAGAACGTCCTGAATAAGGTTCTGCTTGTCGGTAAGAGAGAGATGAAGACTCGCTGGGAGTATTTGGGAGAGATGCCGCGCCTCTCCCAAACAGAGGCGTGCCTTGATCGAACTATACGTGTAGCTTACCTGCACAAAGTTGTTGTATTTCTCATAGATTGGGGTCAAATAAGAGACGTTTATTTCATTGAATTTTTCTCGAATTGGATCAAGATCCAGGTGCGGGAGCGTCTGAAGTGTTATTAGAACATTCTGTCGAAATGCAATGGCAAGAGAGTTGCTTATATCTCTGTACTAGTGTTAAGCTACTTCCAGTTATATACCGTTTCCATTTCAAAAAGGACACTTTTCAGTTCAAATTGGATGCTTTTCGAATCAAATCGGACACTTTTCATACTTAATTGGACACACTCCTCCTTCGGACAGTTGTTCAAGTAGACCGCACTAGCATCTGCTGCAAGTCACGCCCCATTACACCTGCCCATTTTCAGCGCGCTCATGTTAGCGCCGCTTTAACCCATCTTTCCCATTTTCCCTACGGTTTCCAGTTTTACTGAAGTGTGTCCATAGATTTCCAAAATAATGCTTCTTGTCCTCTCTTATCTAGGAGTGGAGCCGTGGTGGCTCCTTTTGACTACGTCATCATCGCTAAGCCACCCTGAGCTGCCGTCCGCTCGGACCGCGTTCGGACGTCGTCCTGACACACAGTTAGAGTAGTAGAGTTCGCTGCAGATTGATGGGCGTTCCTACGGTCCCCCCCCCACGGGTTTTTTGGGCGGGGACGTCGGCTCCGACACCGCGTGTCCAGAAATGGCAGAGATTTGTAGCGACTGTCATATGTGCACAATTCTCTCTGGCATCGAATGTGTGCTGATACACCCACAGGCGCGACAATCACGCACTTTTTCGTCTAGACTCTCATCGTTGGCGTCGCCATCAAAAGTAGTGGCTGATGCGCTATATCAGCAGATTTGTGCTGTATTCCGTTTCTAAAAGCTGAAATTGTTCCCGATCCGGCTCCAATAAGAAAAGGGATAATGGTGACTGAAACAAGATATTGCTGTCTGTGTCCCTATGTGATCGTTTTGATATAGTTTGCATGATTCTATGTCATTCGAATTGGTTTTTTTCTCATCATTTTCGCCTGTTTGTTGAATCGTTATGATTGTATAACTCCATCTGGTTTCAGTCTAGTTGTCGCTAAAAATTCAGAGCAAAATATCCTTAGTTTCACGTTGAGACATTACTTCACCCTTTTTTTATTTGAAGCCGCTGGTTGAGGAATGAATCCAGCGTTTAACAAGTTGAACCAGCCAGAAACCAGCGATTTGATCGCTAGGCCGGCTGCCGAGAGTTCAGACGAAGAATGTGCTTAGATAGCGCGCAGGTGTGTGTACCAGCGCCCAGAGTCGATGTCAGAGAACCGAGGGCAGTCATTCCCGCCACCCACAAGTAGGGCGTCGAACCATTTCGCATCCCTGGACGTTAGCAACGCCCCGTCGTCCACAAGAGATTTCAACTGTATATTTAGATGGGCAAAAAATTTGTATTTGAGTGACTTCGTCAGAGATCCTACGGACCATGTTTAGAAATGGTGCGGGCAATGGGACTTACGTCGCGAATAACAAGCGTGGTATGCAAATTAACTAGTGAGGAAAAAAGCCATAAAAACCATTCATACGTGCTCCATAGCGACACCTGTCGGTCGGAAGCCTTTCACGTAGCATACGGCTAATAGGGCAGGCGTATGTAATTTCTTGCCTTGTTACGTATCACAACAATGTCACCATTATTTTCAATATGGGCATCTGAGTCTAGAAACTGGGCGGAAGCTCAGGCGGTGGGCGGTGCATCGTCTCAGTCACGGGCAGCTAGCATCCTTGTCACACATTTTCAAGATTGCTTACAGACGGCACTATCGTGTCCGGGGAAGGCGTCAGTAGATCAGGCTAATGCAGGAGGTGTCTCTGAGGGAGAATTACAACACGAGAAAATGCTTACGTCACCAAAGTTTTTCTCGAATAGCCAACGATCTTGAATGAAGCTATTGTACACCGATTTGTGGGTTGAGCATGCAGCGAATGTTTTGCTGAAGGGTATCTAATTATTCAAAGAAAGGTGGATAAAAACTGCATAAAATACGAGATTTTCCCAAAGAATATATTCAGAAATAATCACTTAAATTCTTCTGTATCTGAGGCATTCCATGCCTCATTGTAAGTATGCATGGTGGTGACGGTAGCAACTGCATTATCTTCAAATACACCAACACATAAAAATTCTGTACTATATGCCGCGAATAGGACGTAGCTGGAAGTATACTTGGATTTCGGCTAGTCTGCAAGAAAGCGTTCATACTTTGCGAGTCGAGCGATCCAGTCGCTCAGTGGACCTATAGTGACCGCGCTCCACAGCTAATCAGTGGACTAATGAAACTGATTCAGTTCAGTGCGGTCGCTTACACTGAGAACAGTCGGACACGTCAGCGCAGCGTGAGCTTCGACGCGGGCGTTGACTCCTTCCCCACCATTAAATGCACCAAGCTACAACGATCAGTGAAAAACGGGCTGGCGCCGCGATGACACGCCCCGACCGACTTCAGCGCTAACTCCGGCTTAGGAAACCTTTTGACTTCTTTGTTCATGTTTGTTTGCATCGTTCCCGGTGCCAGCGTATTTGGGTGGGGCTATGCGTGATAAGTGAGATTTTGCAGTCCGTGAACCACTGCTACCATATCCCAGGTCGTTGCATGAACTCCCACCTCCTCCATGGGGTTCGAACGTGAACGCTTTGAACGGGCACACAATTGGTTGGAGATTTGGGATTTTGTTCGAGTCCGTGCAATCCCCTCCCCCCTACGAGGTGGCCTGATACGACTCCCTTTGGTACCATCACCTTATCCAATCGAGCTGTGTAGCCGAGAGGAGGGAATATGTAACACAGTTGAAACAGGAAAAGCCGCAAAAGGTCAACAACCGGGAAAATTTTCCCCAACGCCGCACCGCTAAAAATTTCCCCAACGCCGCAGTTTTTTTCGGAAGGAATATGAGCCACCCTCTCTCAATCGGGATTAAATACAACGCCCTTCAACCTTCCAGCGACCATAACGATGACGCGTCCTGATCTCGACGCGCCGCTGTGCGATCCTGCTCGGCTTACCATTTGTTAACACTTCGCTACCGAAGAGAGGAACTCTTTCCTGTCCTAATCTTTCTTGCGTAAGCAATAATACAGCGAATGAAGAAAAAGGTCTAATGAATGGTCTTGTAGCGGTTACGAATGCCAGTGACTGAAGCCGCCTGAATCCCGGCTTCTAGTCGCGAAGTATGGTCTTGTTCGCGGCGGACGCGGGGCGATGTCAGGGAGGTGGGGAGAAAGCCTGAACGGCCAGTCAATTCTCACCAGACTGAACGCGTGGGAAGTTGCCAGCCGACAACAACTGGTGGAAAAGCGGCTGGCGCCAAGCCAGGCCCTGAGACGCCCCAGCATCTGCAAAAGACAGGACCTTATGAACGCGCTCGGATAGTAATGTCGGAGCATTAGACCCACCATGCTGCCAAAAATGCTAAAATAGCTATATAAAGAGCAACATGGCCTAAAATTTCAAGCCCGAGATCAAATACGGCAAAAAGTACGCGACGTTTTTTGGAAAAAAAAGGGCATTCGATTGACTGTCCCCGGCAAAACGGAAATGCCTGAAGTGAACAACGTTAAAGGTACGGTCCGTGATCAGGATATAGAAGTTGAAAATATGGCGTCGGGAGGGTAGTGTGGTCCGCGACAAACAACCTTGTACCGGTTTCGCGGCAAAAAATTGTAAGGGAGGGGCGCTATAGCGCAAGTATAGGTTCAGCGACACCTCCTTTTCTCCAGCGACTCCGCTGCAAGGCTGCCTTCATGGCCCATCTTTCAGTGGAAAACGAAGCTGCAGGTCGAGATAGCATGAAAATCGTCTTTTATACGGTCTTAGAGTTCTAAAAGGGAACCAGCGGTGCGGATGAGTGCGTATGTTGGAGATGGAGGTAGATGGGCGTGTAGGAACCGGGATCGAAAAGGGGTTCGTCTAAGGCAAATGGCTAGTGTTTTCTGCATTTTTTCCTTCACTATATTCATCTATTCACTCTAAGTCTCGTCGTCTATGCGCAAACCCATTCTACTGTATGTGATAACAAATGATTACATCTTTGTCTTTAAAACATGACTCGGAGAGTTCATAGAGAGAAAGCGCCCTAGTAAAGCGGAATGCATCGGATGCGAAGGCAGAGGGCAAAGTTGTGGTAAGGAGAGTCACAAGCTCGACCGTCACTCTCCTTATAGCTCGACCGTCGACGCTAATCGTGTGCCATGGGGCGTGGCTGTTGTGGGATGCCATTGGTTGTATCACTCGTTGTGTCTCTTTTGCACGCAGCTCTTTCCTATACAGCAGGGGGCCAAAAGAAAGACACTTTGCCCGAGGCAAATATCAGTAGAAAAGCTCAGAGAGATGACGTGGATACGAGTACCAGGGCGGAAGATACCCAAGATGTTCCTCGATAAGCAGGAGCTGGCTCTCGCCCATCACCTTCATGTACACCAAAATATGAAGTCATCTCCAGTCGCAGCCTGACTGGAGAAGAGAAGGCCTATGGAATTCACGTCTTCTTCAAACAGTTGCGAAACTTCTTGTATCGAGTCACCCATGGACAGCTACCTGAGGACTGGCACTCTTTGTCTGGAGAATCTCCAATATCGAGCAGCTCCTACAACGTCCCCACTACTTTCCAGGATGTAATTCTTTTCTACACGAGCTCGACCAACGCCGCTACGGTCCAGGATATCATCTTCACCACAGTTGATGGTATGGACCGGAAGTACCTGGAATGGGAAGACCGATATTTTCTTCGTGGACCCCGGACTGAAGGTGAGCGCTGACGGTTACATCGAGCAACTCGAGAAGAATATCCTGCCTCATGTCGTCGCCTGTACCATCTTGGAAACTTCGTACTGCTACAGGATTGGGTGCCAGCACATGGAATCGAAGGGCGTTGAGAACCTGAGGAAGAACGGAATATCCAAGTGTGTCACTTGAACTAAACCCCTCGACCGTGTTCGGGCTGTGCTAGGATGGTCTGTATGGCGGAGAAATCAAGGAACTCAGGCACCAAATCGCCGTCGCGTGGTAGAATCTCTCGATAGCGTTCATCTAAAAGGCTGTGGCGCAGTTTCTTGATAGCGTACAATGTGTTGATGAATTTGGTGGTGAAAATGTCCACTCGGAATTTTATAAACTTCTAACTATTTCGCTTAGAAAGTCTTGAGAAGAAGTGTGTTTTTTTTGCCCGCCCTTGTATGGAAGCAGTAGGAAGTTCACCCCAGTCTTCCCATTCACTAGTCTAGTTCTGTTACCCGTAGTCCTGCGTATGTAACGACATAGGAGTCCTTTTCGTAGAGGTCTAGTCTTTTGGGTCAGTGACGAGCCACGAGACCTACCGTAACCTACAGTATTGAATTGCTAATGACAATTTAATTTACCTCAGTATTAGAATAACTAGTCCACAACAGCATACCACCAACATCAACGCAATTGCAATCAGTGAACAAGGTATCCAATAACTCATTCGTAAGGAAGGCTCCTGAATGGAAATAGGTACCGTTGACTATTTCACCCGATAAATAGCCATTTTCATGGACAGTTTCTTTCATGGACCATTTCTAGCGCCTCTCCGGAACAGGGCAGGTACTACTGCTGGGAAAAATTCCAGTAAACACAAAGCCCTCCCTCTAAGTTCTCCCCCTTTGCTTTAGCGCACGACACTTCTCCAATCTACTACGTTCCTGGATTGCCTACTTCTCTACCAGTTTTCTGAATGCTCAAATTTCTACATTTTCAATTTTTGCTTGTCGGGGGGGGGGGACAGGGGGTTGGAGGTGCAGCAACAATCTACTAGTCTCAGCTAATCAGGCAAATAGTGTTGATGATAGGAATGGCGACAGCCACAAACTAGTGGGAGGAGGGATTGTTTCCCAACGCCTGGCAAGGGCAAACAGGACACCCCCCTCCCTCCCACGACGACGAGCAAATACGATCTACCCAATTCATAGCGTCCGTGAAACAAGAAATTCAACTATTGAACAAGTGTTCCCAGATCGATTTGCCCTTCGCGCAGGCAATTCTCCAACGGGAGAGGGGGGGGGGGAATCGTACTTCGTCGCTACGCAGTCCTATGCTCCGAAAGCGGCGGAAAGTTAGCGTGCTTTTGCACAACAAGTCTACGCTGATCACATGGACGAAGCCAGGTGTGCTGTTGTACCTAACTAGTTGAATAGCTACGAATCTATTTGCGCTAATTTGAAATGCCCAATGACAAGCGCAGTTTCGGCGTGAAACGAGCCTCTAATCGCAGTGCAATTCCTCGCAACTATTAAACTTGAGTGTCGACAAAGAGCTGTGGTTGGTGGGGTGGAGGAGGGGTGGGTGTTTGCGATTGCCTTCGCAAGGAAACTGGGCGGGCACGATGCACTCTTTTCGAGCAACGCTTTGTGTCAAGTTTATAGATCCGGCGAGACTTACGTTCCTATCCGCATAAGTGTCTACTTGCTTTTTGATAAGATGAAGTTCATCCATTAGGGCACAGCTGTCCTGTAATAGGCAAAGATCGCCTGTTTCAGCGCTTTACAGCGTATCGCGGCATTTCAGCAACG